AAACCTTTCCCTTCGCAGGATAATAATTTGTGCTCTACATGACCCACACCATTATAACAATTTTAAACCCAGCTAGGTAATTATTCTCTAACCAGACAATGGAGTTGACTAGCAGACATGTGTAACTGGGTCGCACGTAAGCAAGCTAGGCGCTCTGAGTCAGAGGTTATTTTTAGCACATCAACATTGGGTGTGCAGTGGGAAGATTGTGGAGATTTGAAGTATATACATGTACTAACGGGATAGAATGTATGTCTGCGGGTGCAGATAGGAAGGTGGAGAGAATATGATCTATGTGTAATAGTGCCTATCTATTTCCACACTGTACCTTGTCTTCTATCTGGTGTACTGACTTTCAGACAGATAAATGAAAGGGACATTGTCTCCTGTTCTTGAGAGTTATACTCTAAGTGACTGCGAAAGGTAGAGGGAGATAAATTGGGCTTGGTGTGTGAATCTTAAGATAAATACTAATTCTGAGTTCTTTCCTGACAGGATGATACCTCCTTAAAAGTCGGGTATACGAGCTGACGCCTCAACATTATTATTTCAGAGTGCTGTTGGTTCTTAAGGAGCAATCCTCAAATCAGGCACGCGACACGAGCGGTATGTGACACCCATACAAAGTCGCCGGAGGACCCAAAACTATGTTGTCACTGATTTTTCTAAAAAAGATTCAGTTTAAATAAACAAGACAAAATTGCAATGAACTGACATATTTGTATTACCTATAATGTACATATAAATAGGAAACATTAGAAGGATTTCATAACGAGACGACAAACCGATTCGTGGGATATATTACCAGACGTTAAGAAAGCAATAGAACAGTTGTTTTATAACACAAAGTGCTCGGATCTTTAGGTAAAGTTGTCTCTATTCTTTACTTGATACTTTTTAGTGTTGATTATGAAAGCCATTCATAACTTTGAAATTTTGTTATATTGCAGGTGACTCATCAACGTCTGAGAATGTTAAGGTAGAATTATTACAGCATACACATTGTATTAATTGCTGCATCTATAGAAATACAATGAACGTACAAGAAAAGAAGTAAGGAAGGGCGAGGAACTGAAAAAGGAGGTTTGCCCCTGTGGGTTCCATCATCATCATCATCATCATTAAGTGCCTTGCCAGCTGGCATAGGCGTTCATGCATCTCCACAAATCTTGGTCTTTGGTGTTCTGGATCAATTCCATTTATGATATTTCTCCATGCCACTGTCTTAAGCCATCCACCTTTTTTTTTCTCTTGGTCTATCTCTGCCTCTTCTACCCGTAATCTTTCCAGTCGTTAAGACATTTTCCCGTGCTCTTTTTTTTTAATCACGTGACCAACGAACGACTTTTGTTTGTTTCCATCTCATTGTTGTATGGAATATTCTACTTTCATTTGTCATTTTGAGGCAATCATTGTTAGTTATTCTGGCAGTTCAACGTATTCGCAACATTCTTCTCAAGAACCACAACACAGTTGCCTCTAAACTCTTGTTAATTTGTTTGTTCACATTCCAAGAGTCATTGCCATAAAACTAGACAAGCTCGATACAACATTTCAGTATTCGTTTTCTGATGTTTAATGAAAGTGATTTATGACATACGATCATTTATTCTTCTAACATACTGCTTTTACTTGGCCAATTCTGCTCTTAATTTCTGTCATACTTAGTCCATCTGATGTTATAATTGTCCCCACATACTTGAAATTATCGACTTGGTTAAGCAATTTCCCTTTTATTACTATGTCACATTTTGGAGTTATCCTCTCCTTTGATGAAACCATTGTTTCTGCTTTCTTGACATTCAAGGAAAGTCCCTTATTTGCACTTTCTGGTACCACAATGTCTAATAGTTGTTGTAGGTCTTTTGCCTTTTCAACTATTAATACTGTATCATCTGCATAACGAAGCTTGTTTATATTATAACATCCGACTAGAATTATCCTACTAGAGAGAGAGAAAGAGCAATAGAGAGAGAGAGAGAGAGAGAGAGAGAGAGAGAGAGAGAAAGAGAGAGAGAGAGAGATATATCCGGTGACAAAACTCATCCTTGCCTCACTCCCTGCTTTATCTGTTCATAACTGCCTACTTTATTTTCCAATTAAATTGCTGCTTCTTGCTTCCAGTAAATATTTTTATTATTCTAAGATCTTTTCTATCAAAGGTAATACCCACCCCCCCCCCCCTCCCTAACATTCTATTGCAACATTTTTAAGGGGGTGGAAAGGGGGTGTGGTGGGGAGGGAGAGAGAAGATGTGTTCTCCCTAAATAAGCACATCCTTGACTAAGTAGGCGGAATGTTTCTCTTGAAGTCAGACTACATCTGCCTGTGAAACAAGGAACCAACAGTTGCATACATATAAGCGAGGTCTGTGAAACGGATATGCACTGGAAAAAATCAAGTTATGCAACAAGATCACAGTCCAGAAGAAAATCTCCGTTGAAGTTTCCGGCTAGTGAACGCTAGGAAAAAGAAGAAGAAACAGGAAGTTGAGGAAAATAAAAAAAAAATTAAGGAGGAGGAGGGAGAGAAGAAGAAGAAGAAGAAGAAGAAGAAGAAGAAGAAGAAGAAGAAGAAGAAGAAGAAGAAGAAGAAGAAGAAGAAGAAGAAGAAGAAGAAGAAGAAAAAAAGAAGAAGAAGAAGAAGAAGAAGAAGAAGAAGAAGAAGAAGAAGAAAAAGAAGAAGAAGAAGAAGAAGAAGAAGAAGAAGAAGAAGAAGAAGAGAATACGTAGAAGAAGAAGAAGAAGAGAATACGTAGAAGAAGAAGAAGAAGAGGAAGAAGAAAATTAGGAAGAAAAAAATAAGAAGAAGAAGAAGAAGAAAAAGAAGAAGAAGAAGAAGAAGAAGAAGAAGAAGAAGAAGAAGAAGAAGAAGAAGAAGAAGAAGAAGAAGAAGAAGAAGAAGAAGAAGAAGAAGAAGAAGAAAGAAGAAAAAAAAAGAAGAAGAAAAAGAAGAAGAAGAAAAGAGAAGAAGAAGAAGAAGAAGAAGAAGAAGAAGAAGAAGAAGAAGAAGAAGAAGAAGAAGAAGAAGAAGAAGAAGAAGAAGAAGAAGAAGAAGAAGAAGAAAGAAGAAGAAGAAGAAGAAGAAAAAGAAGAAGAAGAAGAAGAAGAAGAAGAAGAAGAAGAAGAAGAAGAAGAAGAAAAAAAAAAGAAGAAGAAGAAGAAGAAGAAGAAGAAGAAGAGAAGAAGAAGAAGAAGAAGAAGAAGAAGAAGAAGAAAGAAGAAGAAGAAGAAGAAGAAGAAGAAGAAGAAGAAGAAGAAGAAGAAGAAAAGAAGAAGAAGAAGAAGAAGAAGAAGAAGAAGAAGAAGAAGAAGAAGAAGAAGAAGAAAAAGAAAAAGAAGAAGAAGAAGAAGAAGAAGAAGAAGAAGAAGAAGAAGAAGAAGAAGAAGAAGAAGAAGAAGAAGAAGAAGAAGAAGAAGAAGAAGAAGAAGAAGAAGAAAAGCAATATCAAAAGCAATAATAACATTAGCAACAAAGAGAAGGGGGAAACATACACGAGCACCTCCTAAAGAAATAACTCGTCATAGTTGGTTTGCGTGGATTTCAGTAAAATAAAATAAACATAAGTAAGTAAAGTAAAGTAAAGATCCCTTTTCACGCCTTTCGGCGCATCGGGCATATGGGCAGAGCGTCCCATATTTTTACAGACCATCAGCACTCTGTGTTTAAATTTCTTGCAGAAGAAGTTTCGCATTTTGAAATCTATTTCACTAGAGACGACAGTAAATGTTAAAAATTGGGTTTTGTAGTGATTCGAACACGTACAACAGGTCCGATTTGCTCAGCCGAGGCCGCTCGTTTTGACTTTGATTGTATTACGAGATTCAGTGTAACAGTCGCTGTAACTCAGTTGCTATAAGGACCATTTTTTCAGATGTAGGTTAGGGAGACTGCGTGGTCTCGAGGCATGGTGTCTGCCTCGAGTTCAAGAGGTTTCGGGTTCAATCCCCAGGATGGGCTGGGATTTTTTAACGCATTCTGTAATCACTGTGTAGGCCGCTCTTCTTCTTCTTCTTCTTCATCTTCTTCTTCTAGTTACTTCTAGTAATTCCCCCTGGTCTCTGGGTAGTAATATCAGACGCCCGTGTGCATTGTTGCGCAAGCAAAAAAAAAAATGCCTTGGCAGTTGGAAAAAGAAATAGTAGACTAACGGCACTTTCCGGGCAAAATTTGGAGTTAAAATTCTACCCAAAGTATTTCATGGTCCTCGCCAGTGCTACAAAGTTCGTGCATTGCGCTGACCACCTTCGGACTCAGGCTTGAGCTAGAAGAACAAGGCACTTATGGTTACTACCCTTGTGTCATGATGTTGATCCGTTGTTCAAACTAAACCTAACCAAACCTATCTTGAATGGTTTAGGTTAGGATTTTAGGTTTTGTCCCAGGAAAGAAAAATACATTCATCAATGTACCTTTCCGTGGATATTGCAGGGCTCCATTGTGGGTTGAATAGACCCACTTCCTCTTAAGAAGCATGTCGTAAAATTTAACTAATTATTGATGTTTCTTTCGAAGTCGAAGTCGGATCGCATGAACCCGAGAGCTGAGGGGCAAACAGTCTAAATAAGAAACATAAACAAATAAAAAAACAGATATGGAAAATGGAAGTACACGCAAATTTCAGGTTATGGAACAGGACTAAAATTCAGAAATGAATACAAGAGTAGGAATTTCAGCGGAAGCTTACAGCTGGTGAAGGCGAAAAAAAAAAAAAAAATCATCTGACTGTGTTTTCGAACCTGGTTCTAACGCATTCTGTAATCACTGTGGCCGCTCATCCGGGCAAAAAAAAGTAAGCACTAAAATTTTTTTTTTTTTTTTAAACATATCCTTGTAGAGCATAGGCAGACAACTTTGAAGAGACATGCACTTATATGTTATGAGTAATGACTCGGCATCACAGAACATGTGACATTCTCATACACGCTCCGTCATCATCTCACAGAATTTTAATTACTATGGTACAAGTAACAGTCTTACCATTAGAATAATGCACTTACCTAAAGCGCCAAACTGGTTAGCCACAGTGTTAAGACTCCGCCTGAGTCCGTCGGTTATACCCGACATGAAGCCACCAAGCGAGCCTAGGTTCGTGTTCAATGTCTGCTGCATTTGGTTCAACCCGGTCTGCAGTCCCTGGGAAAACTGGCTCATGGCTTGTGTAAACTGGGCTTTTTCGGCTTCCGTCATTTGTCTGTTTAGCATTTTGCAGTTAGAGGAAGAATATGGAAGGTTAATAGATACAATCAGAGTTTTCTGTCTGTCTGTCTGTCTGTCTGTCTGTCTGTCTGTCTGTCTGTCTGTCTGTCTGTCTGTCTGTCTGTCTGTCTGTCTGTCTGTCTGTCCCGTCCGTCCGTCCGTCCGTCCGTCCGTCCGTCCGTCCGTCCGTCCGTCCGTCCGTCCGTCCGTCCGTCCGTCCGTATGCCCCCCTACCCCCCACCCAACAAACACCCCTCCAACCCCCAAAGCTTAAATGAATGACCTGACCGAGGATTCGAAACTGGGTGTCAAAGTGCAGGTAGGTGACACTCCTGATGTTAACAACTCAAGAGGTCAAGAAAAACACAAAAGCAACCCTTACCGTCCTATGGTGCCGGAACGGGTACACTTGCAGTAGTCCACCTTGACTCCGTTGATGAAGGAGTTGCTGACACTGTTCATGCTGTAGCCAACCGGGCAACATTTGGTCGTGTAGCCATCGGAGACAAAACTCGTCGCATCTTGGCACTGGACATTTCCTTCGACACAATCAATTTCTAGGAGACATAGATTTCAAAATGAAAACACTGCATGCGCTTTTATTTACAACTGAATACATACGTAAGGATGAAAGGATTTCAAAACCGGCCATAACTTTAACTAAACCAGACAGGGTATGCGCTAGAAGTACCATAGTAAGATGTAAGAACACATCTTGTGCGGCTCTCTTGTGTCATTATCATCATCATCAATTTCCACTTCTGCCGTTAACCGCTGGTGGAAGGGACAGTTTGCGATCCATTGCTTGATGGAGAGCAATGACTATTATCACTCCGTGTCGACTTAGAAGCTCTTTAATGTCATCAGTTCATTTTCTCCTAGGGTGGCCTCTTAATTTGACTTTATATATGTTCGTGTTTAGCGCCTGCGTTGGTAGTTGTTCCGACTGCATTCTTAGTAAATGACCAAACCATCTGATCTTCTGTATTTGATACATGGTCTTGTTTCCACAGTCTGTTTGATAATATAATTTCTCGTTTTGTCTCGGATGGTTAAATTCGCGGCTTTTCTTCGGCATCTCATTTCACATGTGTTTTTTGTTTTTTGTTTTGCACTTAGCTCTTTTGTGTAAATGCTAAAAATTCGTTTCACAGTGTAATCCTTGATGTTCACCAGGGTTCGATTGCCGCGGTAAGAGTCACACTGCGGAGAAGACAGGCGCCTTATCTCTTTTATCTTCTATACTGAGTCGTGAGTATTGAGCCGAAAACTGACTGACATCATAGCATTTGGGAAATTCCCATAAGCGCTGCGCCCTTATCTTCAACAGCATGGAGGCTAAACTTCATTGTGGCGACTTCACAAACACATAATTAAAAAAAAAAAATAAAACAGACGCACCGTAAAATTGTCGGTCGCATATACAGGTTGCCGGCGATTGGTCATTATTTGCTGGACTCCTCCATTGCAGGTTGAAACCGTGACCGCAGCAGTAGTGGTTGTTGTTGACAATGCTCAGACTTTGGTGACCCTTGCACTGCTGCTCCCCTGTCGTACAGGGCACTGAAAGGGGGAAAAAATTAGGTGGAATGATAGAAACAGGATGCAACAGCTAGTATAATTGTGGGGGATATCAGAAGGACAACCATGTTCCAACAAATTATACGAAAAGGCGAACTATAATTAAACCTATGTAAAAAAAAAAAAAAAATTTGTAAAGCTCCCTTTTCACGCCTTGGGAGCATCGGGCATTTGGGAAAAGCAACCATATTTTTACAGACCGATCGGCACTAGGTGGGTAATGGGGTCAGCATTACGCCGGCCGTCTGTACTTTCTCAGGACACACATCCGGGCACCCATTCTAGGCTAGGTCGACCTGCGACGCCCAGTACCGTGATAAAAATCCACGCAGCCAGCAGTGGGTTTTGATGGCAGTACGTTGGAATTACGAGTCGGATTCGCAACGCCTAAGCCACGGACGCCGCTGTAAACCAATGTATATAAGATTATTGAGAGCCGTCGTGGTTTAGCGGCTAGACAATAAACCATGATGCTGCAATTAGAGACAGGTCATCGGGTAACCATAGTTTCAACTTCATAACAAACAGTTTCCCGCGTAGTTGCTCCATTCTTGTGCAAACGAAAACAGTACAAAACGCCAGCGGATCGAAAGGTCATGGGTTTTGGGTCTTGACGGAACCCGATGTTTTTCAAAAACAGCCTTGACTTCCAGGTCTACCCAGCCTTGTGTGAGTACCAGTTACAATCCTGGGAAGTAAACGCAGCCGGTGTGATGTTAACCTCATCATTAACAAAGTGCCGATTGGTCTATAAGATAGAGGTCTAGCCCTTTATTACCAGTACACCTGAAGACGATGAGAAGGATCCTGTACTTTACTGTTGCAACATTAACATAAGAAAAATTAGCAGAGAATCACAAAACAAGCACTACAATAGGAAATAAAAGCACCGAGGAAGAAAGAAAATTCTAAAGAAATTTAGAAGCGAAATTTGTTTAGATAGGTCAAAGTTGAGTTGGGTTGTGTCCAGAATTGACATCACAGCACTCGGGGAATTCCCATGCAGGTTTCCTCTTCATTTTCAGCAGCAGGCGATGAATTTCAATACTGATTGTACTGGTCAAAATCTGGTTAAAATTCCGTCTTGCTTTTCCTCTTGGTGTACTCAGCCGTCCACACCCTCTGGTTACACCTAGGTGCCTCCTTCTCTCCAGGCCATAATAATCTTCTTTGTCTACTGATTCCTTTGCTTGTTCCCAAAGGGCCTTGACCACATCTGCCATGTGTTGTGAGGACATAAAGCAGTCAAGCAGAGGTTCTAACAAGGTTATACACGTCAGCAAAAGTATCCATGCCTCAAATAGGAAGATCAAATGTGACCTTAAATAATTACCTTTGACAGTCAAAATTTAGTGCCCTTGGAGACTAAAACACTGTCGTTCAATATAAAATATGCCAGTGTAATCATAGATTAGATTTCTGGCTTTCTACCAGTCACAATCTGATTAAAAAGCCCGTCTTGCCTTTCCTCTGAGTATAGTGAGCCGGCCAGATCCTCTGATTACACCCAGGTGCCTCATTCTCTCTAGGCCATAATAAAGTTCTTTCTCTACTGATTCCGTTACTTGTTCCCAAAGGGTTTTGACAACATCTGCCCTGTCATGCATCAGTTCACCACCCAGTGGTGCAGATCCAGCCAATCTGTCTGCCTGTTCATTACCAACTACGCCGGCATAATCAGGATAAAAGATCCAAAGTATGCTCACTACCCGTGATCTTTCCAGTGAAGCTTGCCACTCTGCTCGAAGCATCAATGTTTTCACCTTTCTCAGCATACTCGAGTAGAACTAAAGACTGCCGAAGTAGTACAGGCTGGTTCGTGAAAATATAAAGGGCTGGAACTTCTTTCATTTTCTGCCTTATGTCTGATAGGCGTTGAAAGTTAATGGATGATCGTTTCCGATTTGTTGCACGACGATTACCCAGTATGCTTGATGTTGTAGAGTCTCAAGGTATCAGTAACTCCTTCAGTTCATCTTCTACTGTGTCTTCCCCTACCTTTTGGTTTTCTACTTTCATGTTGTTCGCTTAAGTTTCTGACATCATTAAATTTATTCTTATTTGACAATCACACAATTTTAGTCTTCGTATAAATAATATCCGTCCTGATGTAGAACAAATTTTTCGTATTTTCAAAGCCCTATCATGGTTGTTTCAAGGGCCCAAATATAAACCAACGATTAAACAGGGTTTCTGGGACCTCTCCATGGGTAATCCTCATCAGTGTGGTCACTAAGTGTTTAACGTTTAGTGTGGTGTCCTGGTGGGTGAAAGGTCAGTCAGTCTTCGTATTTCAAAGAATGTAATTATAGGTGTTATTCCAATTATAATTGTTAGAGTAATGTCTTCGTAGCTAACATAATATATTATAGTTTTTATTCACAGTCTTAAAAAAAAAATGGTATCATTTCGCAGGTAGTTGGTTTTCTTTCGTGTTCTTAAATCAATGTCTAAGTCTGACACTGACTACTTTAAGTCGGTGTGAAGGTTGCATTTATAATTTGTCTTTAAAAAAAAAAATAATCTTTATTGAAATTGATGAGCGTTTCAAAATTAGGGTCAGTTCCTGCCTGACATTGTTGGCTTTAAATAATTTGTCAGGTAAGTAAGCAAACCTAAAACTGTTAGCTCTACATGCCGCAGACATGCATAAGGCTGGTCTAAAATAACAGAAACGAAGTGTGGAAAGGATCTCAGTAAGCCGACTCTGGTCTCTAACTGCAGAGATACGGCTAGGCCCGACTCTCTCAGTCCGGACGACGCTGTCGATCGAATCAAATGTCCCATGCAAATAAGAACCACTTACGACAGATTGGAATGATATACACACAGCCAATCCTTTGCTAACTAAAGTGAAGGGTCAGTCGAAGTCCCCAATCGCTAACGATAAAATAGGGTCGGGTGAACACCAGTGGAATGATGATCTCGCCATTCGTCCAGTTTTACATCTTTTTCTGTAAAGGACATGATGACGATGTCCAGATCGATATGCTCAGTACAAGAAAAGCGTTACCAACAGGGTTTTACATTTGTGTTTACATTGGTAAGAAGCTGAAGTATAACTTTAGGAGGTGTATTACTGTAATTTATATCCTCTCAACTATGAGTTATCTTGACTTTCGGTTAACATAGAGAATAGACATGGTTACCGTTTTTGGTCGTGATAAACAATCGTCTTTGACAACAGTTGGCTGCTGCATACTCCTCCATATGTGGACTGAAAGAATATAGTTTCATCGCCCAGCTACTGATTTTAGTGTATGGCTCGACACTCTGAGGTGCAGATTTTATTTGGAATGTTTTTATGGTTTGTGTTGTGAACTGGAAATAAATAAAACAGCGAGTGGCTTGTTCCCATAGAAAATGTTTGTTTCAGCGCTTATGCCGGCTGCCTTATGCACTGACTGCGTGTTTGTGCATTCAGATAAACTGAGAATGCAGTCTGTGTCCGTTTTTGCGCCAGGGACGGTGATTGACATTCGATACGGTTTTCGTTGGCACATGAATAGAGCCATTATGAGAAGGGGTCGGGATTGGTAACCAGTTTGTTATAAAGTTGAAACTGCGATTAAATTATTACCTGTCTCGAGGTACACCAACTAGCTTTTTATTTGTTGTTCTTCTACACAACTCGAACAGTCCTTCCCCCATCCCAACTCATCCCCCCACACCACCCTCCCCCCCTTTTTCCCCCGCCCTCCCACACTCCTGAGTTCAGTGGTTCACAACCTACGGGTCGCGACCATTTTTTGTATCAAACGACCCTTTCACATGGGTCGCCAAAGACCAACGCACAACAAATATTTATTGAAGTTATGAAGTAGCGACGAAAATAATTGGACGGTTGGGGTTCGCCACTACATGGGGAACTGTATAAAAGGGTCGTGGCATTAGGTAGGTAGAGAACCACTTTCTAATTGAATGTTGAATATAGAATTACAAAATGGACATCACAGAGCTGCGGAAATTACCGTTAGCACTACATTTCTATTCTCATCTGCAAGCACAGAGTTGCAATTCGGATGACAAGCAGTAACAGTCTGGTTGTATCTCCTTCTCGCCATGCCCTTGAGTGTTAAGCCTCGGTCAGCCATTGCTGTTTTTTTCTTTTTTTAAATTCTAAATTAACAAATTAATTATATACCAAACATTGAGTTCTAACTCACTGAAATTGGGTAAATACGTTTTCCTTGAAATTCGTCTTATATATATATATATATATATATATATATATATATATATATATATATATATATATATATATATATATATATATATACATATATATATATATATATATATATATATATATATATATATATATATATATATATATATATATATTTGTGTGTGTGTGTATATATATATATATATATATATATACCGCTTACCTTGCTCTGCTGTAGCTAAAACGGCGGTGACTGCCAGTAGCAGCAACGAAGACACCATCTTGTACAACACAATTCGTTTGTAGTCTGTAATGTAAAAAAAAAAAAACATTTAGCAAAGTTAGGGAAATAAAAAGACCAAACAAATCAATATCCGATAACACCTCACACAACAACCAATGTCTTTATAAAAAAAAAAAAAAAACTAACAAACAAACGGAAGGAACAAAAAAAAAAAAAAAAAAAAACGAACAAAGAAACAACACGTTACATAAACCGAAATGCGTTACATTTTCTGATATTCATTATTTGTTACTTTTATATTTCTATTTCATATGAAATTCGTAGTTTTTTTTTTTTTTTAAACTAATCGTCGATAAAGACTGTGTTGACAGCTGTGGTTCTACAACAGTTTATTTTGTCTCTCCTTTTTTTTTTTTTTTTTTTGGGCCGCCTAGGCAATATTTGTGTTGTTATTGTTTTCTATAACGCCCACATCGAGTAATTATGGAAACTCGTTAAAAAAAAAATTATTGATATCCGAATTGTTATGGTTATCTCTTTAAGCGCCAGAAAATGCATAATATTTTCAAAGATAACAAAGAAGGTGGAGGGGGAGAATAAGAACAAGGAGAATAATAAAGAACACAATGACAATGATAATGTTGATGATGGTGACTTAGAACAAGAGACGGTGAAAAACAGAAGAAGAAGAAGGCAACTAATAATAATCATTATAATATTTTTAATAATAATAATAATGATGATAATAATAATAAGAACAATAATGATAATAATGATAATGATAATAATGATAATGATAATAAAAATAATGATAATAATAATAATATTATTAATAATAATATTAATAATAATAATAATAATGATGATGATGATAATAAAAATAATAATAATAATTAATAATAATAATAATAATAATAATAATTAGAAGAAAACGAAGAAGAAGAAGAAGCTTGAGCTTCGCTCTGCTGCATACCTTGTGGCGTGTGACAATTGATAGCCTCTACAATTAGAATAGACATTTGTCAGTGACACAAAACAGGGAGTTGAAGCATAGAAAAAGAATAGTGGGAGGGGAAAATGGTGGGGAAAAAAGGGGGGGGGGGGGGTCAACTTACTTTTGCCCATCAGCCAGAATATTAGTCACCTGTGTGTCTAGTGATGACATAAACATAAAATGCTGACGTTTTCGGCAGGACAAACACAAAATGCTGACGTTTTCGGCAGGACATGGCGGCAGGTCAAACACAATATGATTTAGCAGGCGCAGGAGGTCTTGCCCAAAGTCATAGTTCTATGTAGTCCCATGACAGATAATTGCCTTGTTATATGTATTGTAATTAAACAACATTAAAAGTCTATGGTTGAGCACCAGCAACGATGTCAAACTTTTGAGAGCATGCATCTTCCTTGTAGCAACATAAGGGTGTAAATCGTGGACTATCTCTCAGTTCTTAAGAAAGAGAATAGTGGCTTTCGAGGTAAAATGTTATAGAAAGATTCTCAGAATACCAAGGACAAAAATGTATTGAAAAAAAAGAAAGAAATTTTTATAGATTATAGATCTGAACATCTAAGAAGATTGGCCAATAAACAGAATCTTGTCTAGGAAGCTGAAATATTTTGGTCATATCACTACACATACGGATCTGTTTTACGCGAACAAAGAAACACATAGGCGTTCACAGAACGCTCAGCGGACAGAACAGTCAAAGAAACCAACTGCGCCTTCTCCATGACAACCAGCAGCATGACGATGTAGCTGGTGGCAGTAACACAAGCGTTCACGTGGCTCACAAACTACACCTGCGCATGTATACTCTGTGATTCGGTGAGTATGATCTTTAGGGTTCTGGTAGAATCACTGCCAAGGCATGGGTTTAAATCATTACAGAAGTCCACTGTGCGTGAAGTCACCTTTATTTCCGTTTTGGGACACGCGGGTGTCGATGGAAATGAAAGAACTAATAGGTTGGCGGGATCTGCTATGACTATAGATCATGCTGATATTATTAATGCCCTCCGAGAAATGGAAAACGAGACGCACACTAGTAACATCAGGGGATTTGTTAATCAACATATAACTATACTATTAGCCACCACACGCTGGGGTTCATACTGAGGGGGGGGGGGGGGGGGGGTCTGAGCACTTATGGACATGTCCGGAGTGCAATGATGATAACCCAACTATTTAACTAACTTACCTAACTAACTAACTAACCTAACTAACTAACTAGCTAACTAACTAACTAACTAACTAACTAACTAACTAACTAACTAACTAACTAACTAACTAACTAACTAACTAACTAACTAACTAACTAACTAACTAACTAACTAACTAACTAACTAACTAACTAACTAACTAACTAACTAACTAACTAACTAACTAACTAACTAACTAACTAACTAACTAACTAACTAACTAACTAACTAACTAACTAACTAACTAACTAACTAACTAACTAACTAACTAACTAACTAACTAACTAACTAACTAATTAACTAACTAACTAACTAGCTAGATAGCTGGCCAGTTTGCCAGAAGTCATTCCGTTTGTAGTTAAAGTATTAACGGTGCTCCAGTATATGTGTATAAGTAATGCAATCAGCCGTAGTGACTGTATTGACGTGCAAGAGAAAGACAATGAAGACACAGTAGGGTACATATCAACTGTTATATCTGTGAGATTGCACATTTTCGTCTCGAATCAAGCGTGCATATATATATATTTACATACATACAAACACACAATGGATGTGTGTGTTCTCGTGTATATAAAGTTCACTTTAGTAACATAATAGCAGCTATATTTTTACAACCAATGATAATTACAGTTACCGGGTAATTACTAGGCAAAAGGTGAGACATTTAGACACACAAAAGCAGGTAGGCAGACAGCCAACCATACAGACAGATTGACAAAGAAGTCAAACGTTTAGGTCAACCCAGCAGAAAATCAAGCAGCGAAACACATAAGAAATATAAGTTACAGAAAAACATAACAGTTGGAGTGGGCACAATATTAAACTACATGCAGTATAAATAAAGCATTTTACTCCATACATACAGAGATACAGTCAGTACAAGGCAAACAGTTTAGTTTAGTTTTACCTTTAATGACGAAGTACCAAATGATGCCTAAAATTAAACAAAACCGTATATGCAGAGAATAGCAGCACAGAAACACGTCTGACTGATTATCTAGGTGTTGTGAAGCAGACAAGAGAGTTTTAGCCGGTCGGTTTTGTATGTAACATAACCTGTCATGTAAATTACCTGTTGGTCGTCCTTGACATCCACCTGTGACTGACCCAGCCAAGAAAGAAAGTATGTGCAATTTTTCAGGTTTTCAGGAAACTATTTTTAATTATAGTCTTTAGTCTTAAATCTTGGAAAGTGAGCAAACAAATTAGGAATAGTTTGGAGGCTACTGAGATATGGTTATTGCGAAAAATATTTAAAATACCTTGGACTGCCAGAATAACCAACACTGAATGCCCAGGAAAGTAGATCATTATATACACCAATGAGAGGGAGACTAGTAAAGTGTTTTGGTCATATGATCATAAAAGGAGCTCTGAAAAATATCGTGACGACTGGAAGGGTCACTGGTATAAGAGGCAGAGGTAGACAAGGAGAAATGATGGTGGAGGGTTTAAGACAGTGGCATGGAGGAATGTCATCATTAGAATTATTCCTGAACACCAAAGACCGAGGTCTGTGGCGAAGCATGCACACCTACGCCAGCTGGCAAGGCACTTGATGGTGATGAGACTTTGGTAAAATGTAGTCAATATAGGACTCTTTTCGTGTCAGTGGCACTTCGAGTAAATAAGGCTATCTGGTGAAATGGTAATCTGGCAATCTTAGTTTCAGTTTCATAGCAAACGGGTCACCTCATAGTTGCAATGTTTATCACAGTTCCTTTGTGGAAAGATTGACAGACTGCTGTCTCAGCATATCTAGCATACACACGCCTTAACAGCACACCGTAGCCATCCGAAGTGCTAACACAAACAATCCGACATTATAAATGCAGTTCATCATGGATGGTAGCAGAAGTCACCAACAGATCAGCAGTTGTACACGCGATTAATTTTGATCACAAAAATGGCACCAACAATATTGTGACAACAGGCATCGCGCCATTTTCTGAATCTACAATTCACACCACCATGTTGGTCACAGTAGAAAAACATTTCAAATGAAATTTGCAGCTCACAGTGTCACGCCATGCACTCAACTCAGAAGCTGGGCGACGGAACTATCCTTTCTGTCTACAAGTGGAGCAAAAATGCGCCGGCCACCGTCTGACAGAAGCAAAAAAAAAAATTGACCACGGCTCACAACAGTGACCGTGCCCAGCGTCCATTTTGTCCAGAAGTCTATAAGGCTATACTTATATTTGCGTTTTTAAAGTTTTTAGAAAAATTGTTTTTAACATAGTAGACTTTAGTAAAGGTGGTAGGTATAAGATTATTTTCAGTCAGGTAGGTAGGTAGGTAGGTAGGTAGGTAGTTGCGCCCTACCAGGTCATTACACAAGTGATAAACACCCAGTGATACAAAGTGCCACGATGCGGATGAGGATCACCCGTGGAGAGGTCCCAGAAACCCCCTTCAGCCGTTAGGGCATACCTATGGCTTAGCCATATTTATGATTCAGTATCGCTTGGAGTAATTATGACTAGACTGATATTTTTTTTAAGGCCAAAGAGTATTCATTGGGTGGTGTGGTCAACATCTCTATGGTTGCCCCTAAACTTCTCGGAACATTGCCCGTTATGTTATCACAATCGACGTCACTTTGTGTTTGGCATTCCCGTGCGGGCTCAGTACTCCGACGCAGAAGCAATGGTACCTCTGAATGTTGTTTCCACGAAGAGCTGGTTATAATGCCTCATGTCTCAGCCTCGATAGTGACATAGACATGCTTCACCGCATTTTACTCCGATGTCACGCAACTGTGTTAGCGTCAGAGATGCGTCATTATCTACTTACCTAGTCCGTAAAGCAGTGATGATATTTTCTCTATCCATGCTTTCTTCCCAAAATACGTTGTT